GGATTGGGCCCCCAGTGAAGCCAGCACACACAAAAGAGTGAAGACATCCAAGCTGTGGCTGCAGGTGCATCTGAACGAGGCTGGGCCTCCTAATGAACAGCCAGGGTTGCATGACCCCCTAAGGGATAAGCAATAAGATGAAATTATGCTGTGATTAGCACCACCTCAGCCAGGAGGTCCAGGAGGCATCAGACGCCCCTCCCTTTCCAAAAGCACCTTTGTTCTTCCCATGTGCCCTTGCAGCAGGACTCACTTCCCTGTGGCCCCAATGCTGGCTAACAGCGATACTTGCAGTCCTATGGGTTGACTGTAGTCTGATCCATGATGTGCCAATGATACAATTTTGCTGTATAGATTAACCCTGAACAAGGGATTCAGGGACCACTCACTCAAACCCAGGGCTGCTTCTTCTCTCCTTATTTTCAGTTAACTCGCCTAACTTAAAAAGCCCAAATAGGCTAAAATGCACCACTTTGGGGCCACTGCAGAATGGTGTGTGCATGGATGGGCCTGCTGAGGCAGGCCAGGGACAGCCTGTGTCGCTGCCTTAGCTTGGGTGCATTCTATTCTCACACCGTGTACGCCTAACTCTTGATTGGAAGACTCCCAGATAATCACCAGGGCTGTCCCGGCTCGGCCTTCGTGCCGTGTGCACCCCTACATTATCCCACAGGGATCAATATGTCCCTGTGGATATGCTCAAAACATGTGTCACATTTGAGAAATTTCATGAATCAACACCACTGTCCAGAGCTGATCCATTTTCAGTTGTTAGCCCCAAAGCCATGTAAATAAGACAAAAACGACGTCAAGAATACCAGTGGGCTTTCTCCTTTTGTTTAGTCAGAAACGTAAGACAGTCAGGAAAGAAAACAGGGTTTATGGGAACTGAAGTAGAGCCGCATTGTAGAAAGAGTGTGTTTGACATTGGGGAGAAAATAGTCTCTGTTTACACTGCACTGACAGCCTGTACTGCCTACGTAGTGGAACAACTTACTGGTCACACGGTGCTGTGATGTATGTTCTATTATGGAGCAAAATTGGTGGAGAAAAAAACCAAAGCACTGAGCAGTGCTTTCTTTGCCCAAGATCGTGCTACAATATTCTCCCCACAATAGCATAACAGACAACATGTGTGCAGCCTTCTATTGTGTTCTGGAACACTCCCTTACATGTGGGATCCTCACCGCGCCATGTAAGGCAGTGGTAAGGCTGGTGGAGGGCAGGGCGGTAGATAGATTAACCCTGAACAAGGGTTTCAGGGACCACTCACGGGGTGGAAACCTCTTTCTCACTAGCTGCGTGACCTTGGATAAGCCATGCAACTTCTCTGAGTTTCAGTGTTTATAAATGTTCAGCACCAGTTTTGAAGCAACAGTTTAGAAATCTTCGTTAGTGTTATCATTAAGATTTTAGTGGTAAAATGAGGTCTTTCTTTCTTTTCTTTTCTTTTTTTTTTCATTTATGTATTTGGTACACGATCTCACTACGCAGCTTGGACTCATAGTGATCCTCCTGTCTTCAGCCTCACCCACGCTGAAAACAGGTGTGCACCACCACATCTGGACTCTGTTGCTGGCTCAGTGAGGCCCTGGGGTGGGGCCAGTGTGGCATGCAGACCCGGGATCAAACCCTCTTCCTTGCGCTTGCCAAAGCAGGCACTTGGTCCATTGAGAAGTTTTTCATTCTAAAATTTTCTCTCTACTATCTCAATAGGCATAAGAGCTTGAATACTGAAATATTTTTTAAAGGAAGAAATATTCTTTCATATTAAGAGGACAGCATGTTGCATGTCCCAACGCATGTTTCGACCATTCCGTTTCTCAGGTGGCTCCTCCCTGAGCTCTATCGCGTTCTTCCACCTGATCCTCAAGGATGTGAATGACAATCCCCCGCGGCTGGCCAGGGACTACACAGGCTTGTTCTTCTGCTACCCCCTCACGGCCCCGGGAAGTCTGGTGTTTGAGGCCACGGATGACGACCAGCGGACATTGCGGGGTTTCCACTTCACATTCGCCCTCGGCAGTCAAAGTTTACAGAACGACTGGGAAGTTTCCAAAATCAATGGTGGGTGGTCCAAAGCACACCAAGAAACACACTGACTGTTGATGAAATTAGGCTTTATGTGCCTTAGGAGGGTAGTGGTGCGGAATTCAGCATTCAGCTTTCTTCCGTGCTCCAGAAACTGTACACAAAGTCTAAAGAAACCCTGGGATGTGGAGAGAGGAAAGACAGTTGCTCGGCTGAGCATCGTGTACAAAATTTCCAGTGATACCTGAGAAACAGATCGCACAAGTCTTAAAGCTTTATTCAAATATAAATTACACATGTTCACTGGGCACAACTGGGTAAGGATCGGTATATGGAAAAATCATGGACATTATCAGCGCAACCAAGTTCATAGTTCTCCACACCTAGTCTTTCTTGCTTTATTGCAAGCCCTCCTTCCCACCTGCCCTCTCCTCAGGCCACCACTGATCCGCTTTCTGGTCCTATCAGTTAGTTTTCATTTCAACAATGGTATGTAACTAGAAGGATTTTTTTTTTTTTGGTTGGCTCAGGCTGCCATAAGGGCAGGTCTGGTAAGGCAGGTGGAGGCAGGGATCGAACTGGGGTCCCCTGCGCCTTACTGGGTTTTCCAGAGCAGGCGCTTAAACAACTGAGCTAACCCGCAAGCCCCCCAACGGCATGTAACTAGAATATAATACCAACATACACTCTTTTGCCTGGGTGCTTCCACTCAGCATGACCATTCTGAGGCATGTTATTGTGTGTACCAATCCTTTATTCTTTATGACTGCGTCACAGTCTGTTACCACTCACCTGGAGATCAGGTCATTGAGTGTGTTTACCATTTTTGTTGTTACATATGACACTGCTCTGGACATTTGTGAGCAAGTGTTTTGTGGGGATATAATGCATTCCTTTTTCCTTGCTTCACTGTGAAGGAATGGGTAGGTACATGATAAGTGTGTGGTTAAAGCTTTAAGAAAACGTCAAGTTACTTCCCAAATTGTTTGTAACATTTTACATTTCTACAGATACGTGTTTCAGTTGCTCTGCCTTCTTCTGGATACTGGCTACGCTGGATTTAAGTTTATTCCTTTGAGTGTGAACAGTATTATTTTAGGGCCTTAATCCATGCTTCCCTAAAGACCAATGTAGTAAGCATTTTCTCAGGTGGTGGCTTGCCATCCCTGTATCTTCAGTGGTGAAGTGTCTGGCCAGATATCGTTCCCCTTTATAAAACGAAGTTGTTCAGCTTCTATTGTTGAACTGTAGGCATTTAGAAATATGTGCACTTTGCCCAATATGTCTTTTGTAAATACTTTCTCTTAGGAAATTCTATTTTCATTTCTTGGTAGTGTCTTTTTAAAAGCAAAGTTGAAAAAAGTGCTAAAATCCAATTTGCCTTTGCATTTTATATAATCTGATTTTAAAAATTTTTAAATTTTTTTTTGCCAAATTCAAGGTCACTAAAATTCTTTTAATGTTCTCTTCTCCCCCTCAAATTTTGTTAAGTTTAGTTCTTACATTAGTTCTACAATTTGAGTTAATTTTTGTACAGGTGTATGGTAAAGATGAAGGTTTAGTTTTTAAATATGGCTAATTTTTCTAACACCATTTATTCAAAACATTATGCTTTTCACATTGTCTGGACAACTTGAGCAAAAACCAAATGACCTTATATATGGATCTCAGAACTTTCTTTTCTGTTCCACTGATACATATCTATTTTTTATTTTTTTGGTGGAACTGGGGATTGAACTCAGGCCCTTGTGCTCGCCAGAGAAGCACTTATTCCACTGAGCCATCTCCCCAGCCCCGACATTGCTTTGATTACTGCAGTTGTGTAAGATTTATGGTGGTATTAGTTTTCCTTTTTCTTTTCTTTCTTTCTTTTTTTTTTTAAATTTAGTACAGGATGTACAGGATCTCACTACACAGATTGGACTTGTAGTGATTCTCTATTTTCAGCTTCCAAAGTGCTGGGATTACAGGTGTGTGTCACCACACCCAGTCTCAACTCCTGTCTCAGTGCACCTCCGGGAGCGGGGCCTGCACGGCACGCTGGGGATCGAACCCCGGCCACTAGGCTGAGTTTTTCTTTTTCGAAAATTTTTTACCACCTCTAATTGTCTTGCATTTCCATATTTCACAGCACAGCTTGTTAATTTCTACCAAAAGCAGCCTGCTGAGCTTGTGAATGGACTGTGTTGCCTCTATATGGGAGTTTGGGAATCTTCCGAGGCATGACCTGGTGTATGTCTCTGCTTTACTTTCTCTCTGCGACATGCTTTTTTGCAAAGTTTTCTCTAAGCATTTCATATGCTGATGCTCTTTTAACTGATATTTTAAAGATTTATGTTCTTAAATATTTTTAGGATATAAGAATATAATTCAGGATTTTGGGGATGTTGCCTTTTTATCCTACCGCCCCGCCATCTTCACTCACTAGTGCTCACACATTTCGATTCCATAGCTTTTCTACATTGGCGGTCATGGAGTCTGTGAAAAAGGCCAGTTTTGCTTCTTTCCCAATGTGCTTGCATGTTGTTTATTGATTAGAGAGAGGGACAGCAGAAAAGCAGTACTCGACTAACTCCTCACCTTAGGGGGAAGGCATTCATCCTTTCTCCACTAAGCATGTGTGGAGAGGCTTTCTTTAGATCATCTTACTATGCTCAGGACGCTATTTTCTTTCTTTCTTTTCTTTTCTTTCTTTTTTTTTTTTCTTTTTTTGGCAGAACCGGGGATTGAACTCAGGCCCTTGCACTTGCTGGGGAAGTGCTTATTCCACTGAGCCATCTCCCCGGCCCAGGACTATATTTTCTATGTCTAATTTGCTGAGGAATTTTTTTTCTCTCTTAAGTCAGAAACAGATATTAAAATTTTCAGTGGTCTTTCTGTTCTCATGAGATAATTGTATGGTTAATTTGTATTTTTGGTCTGTTAGTTGGTCAATTATATTGGCTTTATTGACTCTAGGCTACTTGGTGATGAAATATTATCATTATTATGTATTATAATATTTCTTAAAAGTTTAAGAATTTTTTACATTTATATAAGGGGCATTGGTCTGTATTTTTCTTATGTCTTTATCTGATTTTGGTATTAGTAATACTGACCTTATAAAATGAGTTAAGAAATGCTGTACCTTTTCAATTATCTGAAAGAATGTGTATAAAATTGGTATATTTTTTCTTTAAAGTTTGGGAGAATTTACTAGTGAGGGCCCTTGAAATTTGAGTTTTTGATGTGTCAGAAGTTTTTAACTATAATTTTTTTTACTAGATTAAGTATCTTCAAATTATATATATGTATTTTTTCTCGGTTGAACTTGTGACTTTCAAGTAATTTACCATCCTGTTGGCATGCAGTTATTTGTATTTTATTCTCTTAATATCTGCAGAGTTGTAGTGATGTCACTTACTTTGGTATTGGTAGATGATTTCTTTATTTCTGATAAATGTGGCTGAAGTTTATTATTTTTATTGATATTCTTAAAGAACTAGCTTTTGGTTACTGCTTGCATTTCATTGTCCAAGACTTTATTTCTCTTATCTCATTTTATTTCATTTGGTCTTGTTTTCTTATTCTTAGTAAGGTAGGTGCTTTGAGATCTGATATCTTTATGAACATAAACATTCGGTATACAAATTTATTTCTTACTATTACTTGGCCTCGTTCCATAAAGCTTGACTTTGTGCTTTCATTAGTTCAGGGTATAATTCTCCTTTACATTTCTTCTGTGACCTATGGCTTATTTAAAAGTGTTAGGTTCCAAATATTTGGGCAATATTGCTACATCTTTCTGATATCTAATTTCATTCTATTGTGGCCAGAGAATATGATTCAGCTACTTTTAAACTTATTGAGACTTACTTCTTTTGGACTTTAAAGATAATTCTTTGTGTTCCTATTTGCATTGTTTCTTCCATCCTTTCTTTTTTCCTTGGAAGTAATATTTTTTGTTTCCTCAAGATGCCTTTAAAATACACTATCACTAGGTTGAAGTAACTTGATTATGTGCCATGGTATAACTGTGCCTAAAGTTTTGTTAATTTTCTTGGATCTGAGGGTTTAGAATTTCTATCTTCTTTCTACCTGAAAAAAAGTTTAGTTTTTATTTCAAACACTTTTTTGTCTTTCCACCCTTTCTCTCCTTTCAGGGGCTTCATTATACATAATTAGGTCATTTGAAGTCCTCTTAAACCTCTTTAATCTGCTTCCCTTTTTTTTTTTTCACTGTATTTTATTATTGATAGTTTCTACATCTTAAAACTCATAACTTTTTCTTTTTTTATTTTCAAATTTCCATTAATCCCATCTAGTAATTTTCCCATATCAAATTTTATCATTTTTATCGCTATGTGTTAACTGTGGACTTCGTGTCTCCCACATCTGTACTGAGCACACTGTAGCTTTCTTCTAGCTTCCTGAACATATAGGATTTGGCTGTAGCCATTTCCTTGTCTTTAGCTACTATTAATGTCACTTCTGTGTAGGTTTTGATTGGTTGATTCTTTTTCTGACGTGTCTATTTTTTAATTAAATGGTAAGCATTTGGAATGCCTAACTATTTTATATTCCCATAAATATTCTTGAGCCTTATCCTGAAATGCAGTTAAGTTACTTGGACATGGTTTGATGTTTTCACATACTGTTTTTAAGTTTGATTAGGCAAGGCCAGGGTAACATTTATTTTAGGGCTAATTTTTCCTAACTGCTGGGCCAAAAACCTGTCTGTAATGTGTACCTGAGGCCTCTGTGAGGTGTTCCTTTCTGACTCCTAGGACAGGAATAGTTCCTGGCCCTTTGTGGACACCACGGATTGTTCTTTTCCCATGCCTGGGTGACTCCCTTATGCATGAGCTCTGCCCTGTGCTCAGCTGATAACTGGGCATATGTGCACAGTGCGGACGTGGGCTCTTTCCTCCTCCCCCTGCTTCTCTGTATCCTGAGTCTGGTTGCCTTGACCCCTCCATATTCCAGCTCTGTTGCCTGAACTTGGGCTCTGCACTGAGACCTGGACATCCTGTTAGTGAGAACTTGGAGACCACGCATCATTCTTTCAGGGATCGCTGTCCTTGATCTAGTGCTTGGCACCTTTAAAACCATGGTTTCACGTGTTGTTTCTCTTTTAGTTGGTCTTGGTGGGATGGTAAATCTGATTCCTATTAGTCCATTTTTCCCCTCTAGGGATACAAGTGTAAGTCACAAGTTTTAGGTCTAAAAATCTCTCCCCAAATTCTGCAAAAGTTCTAGGCATGTACCCTTACAGGATGTAACAGAATGAGTTGCAACAAGATCAAAACTATTTTCAGAAACTGAGAACATTAGCCAACAGTTCTGGCTGATGTTCCTAAGTGCAGGGGCTGTGATTCACCTCAGAAAATGTTAGATAGCGGTGCTCGGGCTGGTGCACTAGTGCGGCTGACTGGGATCAGAGTTAACAATGTGCACTAAGTGAGGCACTAACTAAGAGAAACACACAAGAAACCAGCTTATATGTCTACCACAATTTAGTGCCTGGAGGGTTTAACCCTGTATTTCCCCTAGAGACAAAGGCTTAGTATTTACTAATTTAACATTTGGGACACATTGAAAAACACTCTCCGGGGAATAGTAAGAACAGAATGCATTTAGAATCCATTTCCACTAAGGCATCACGAGTTGAGAACTTAGGCTCTATTTACAATATGAGAAGTTACATGTGGAAAGATACAGCTGATATCTTGAATAATTGAACACACAGCTAACCCTGTCCCAGTCAGCCTGAGTAAACAATGCAAAGTTGAATTTTATTTCTGCTAAGCCAGGCATCTGAATATGTGCTTTTTGTGTCCTTCATGGTTTCCATGTTCTGACAGGCACATTTGCTAGGCTTTCCACCAAGCACACAGGCTTCGAGGAGAGAGCTTATGAAATCCCAATCCACATCAGTGATGGGGGTCGGCCACCCTTGGAAGGAACAGTCAACTTACCAGGTAAGTATTTTGCTACAGACATCTCAGCCCAGTACCTGTCGCTACAGGGCATTGTGGGGATTCTTATATTTGATAAGGGATTCTGCGACTATTTGCCTGAGAATTACTTGTGCTAAATACTCTCCTGGGTTTTAGTTACCTTTTGCACCTGTGTGGAAGGAAGCTGCTTCCGGCCGGCAGGGAGACAGGATGGAATACCCACTGTGGGTATGGCGGTCGGTATCCTCCTGACTACTTTTCTCGTCATTGGTGAGTGTAACTTTCCATCTTTGAGAATTCCCATCTCTGGCTTCAGCAAGGTGAGCACATATCAGAGCCCATCTTCAGGGCTGGGTCTGGTGGCTGCTCACATAGGGGTCAGGGCACTAGCCCGAGACACAGATCTCTAGTCTACCACGCCAAAGAAGCACCCTGTACCTTGCTTTGCCTTAGAAGTGACTTTATGTTAGTCACATTTCCTTTACTGTAACAAATGCCTGTGATAAAGAATTTATGAAGAGAAAGGGCTGTTTGGCTCATGGTTCCAGTCCATGACTTATTGTCTTGTTGCTTTGGGGTGTCTGGGCAGGCAGCACATGGCAGAGCAAAGCCATTTACCTGGTGGCTGGGAATACACAAGAGAGGAGGCTATTTCTTTTTTGGTATTCTTGATTATTAAAGTAGTTAAACATTCTGTGTATCTTTTTTTTCCCCCTTGTCTTGCATGATCCAAACTGTCCCCTTGGATCTGATTCATGGGTTTAAAAGGATCTCTTTTTGAACCTTTGGTTCAAATTTATGACAGGAGTGCCTCTGTGGCACAGCTGCTGCAGATCCTAACACACACGGCAATGTCATGGCCCCTGGGAATCACCACCTATTGCACACCTTTCACGTAATTCAAGTGACTATTTAAGGCTCCATTCAGTCACTGTGCTCCCTTCTATAACTTTGATTCTTTCACCCACCAACCTTGAAAGGATTTTTGAGCTTATAGACCAAATAGCCATGTATTTGCCTACTCATTTAACCTCATAAATTTAAAGAATGGGTGGTTGTGGGGCAATGCAGAGGTAGAATTAACAGGATACTGCAGCTTCATACACTTCTCAAAGTAAGTTTGGGATTATTCAAAGATTCTTAGAGGTCTTTTGGGCAACCAGTCCTTTCTGTGATGATTCCTCCTGCGATTGTACTGATAGGTTCGTTTCCTTAAATGACCCCACTTTTCAAAGTGGGCTTTGGCAGTACATATTTAGGGCTAGGCTTCACAATGTATGTTGGTAGGACAAATTAGAGTTCAGTCAGTCTATGAAGGGTCACTCAACAGTGCAGGCTAGAGCATGACAAAACTATTAAAGAAAACATAGATTTGGAAGGGACACAATGAAAGTAGACATTAGGTAGGTGAACAGGTCAGAACAGCTCTCTGGTGGTTGTGATTGGACTGGTTTCTAGGGAAGGGGAAGAATCAGTACTTAAATAGGTACAGTCAGTGGGGAATAATGACATTGGTCCTTAAGTCCTTGATAGAGGCGCAGTGATAGCCACAAGGTTAGGGATAATTTGGGACTTGGTGCATGCATACCAATAAAAAGTGATAAGCTTACTTATCCAAGAAAGTGAATACCTCGATCTCTTAATTCACTAGCACAATCAAACACGGTTGAACCACACCCAAAAATAAAGTTATGAGTCATTTTTTCCTAGCATAACACTATGATGTAAGGAACTAACAATATATTTGAAGAGTGCTTTTATTTGACACCGAGTTTTCCTTTTCAGGTATAATTTTAGCGGTTGTGTTTATTCGCATCAAGAATAAGAAAGACAAAGAAAATGTTGAAAATGCTCAGGCCTCTGAAGTTAAACCCCTGAGAAGCTGAATTTGAAAAGGAATGTTTGAGTTTATACTGCATTAAGTGCTATTTCAATGACACAACTGTTTAATCTCATAATTTTAGTTTTCATCCAACATGTACGCTATAATTTTTTACAGATATTCCCTCTTGCCCTTTAATATTTTACTCTTAGATGTTTCATGTGCTATAGACATTAGAAATACTTTCCATTTTCCCATGACATTTTCCCCCTCTGTAAAGCCTCAGCTAGTTAACTCAAACTAAAATTGTATGTGTTCTCCCCCCTTAGGGAAAAGACAAGCTAATTAAATATTCCACACATTTTTTTTTTGCTTCACCAAGGAGAGTTATCAGTTATCCATTATAGAACTTTCTGGATTCCATGAATACTTTCTCTTATTCCATCCTTTGTCCACATCTCTTTTTACTGAACTATGAAAGAACAAAGCGAGGTCTTAGGAAGACATGAAAGAGCAGCTTTGACCCTTAGTGTGAACAGAAACTCTTCTGTGTTATTCACTGTCCTTAACCCAAAGTGGCCTAGAGCCCTAGAAGACACCCAGCACAGTGGCTCTGTTGCCATAGAGGTCTACTTCATACACCTGGGTGCGGGAGCAACCAGCTGGGTTTACTCATTCCCTACCATGCTTACATGCTGCGCATGTTTTCTTTATTTGTATGTTAATAAAGTTTTGGTTATTATATATTTAACATGTGAAAGAAAATAAGGATGAAAGTGGCACCAAAAATCAAGAATAAAAGTTTGTTGTGGTTGTTTTGTTTCCCTGATCTCAATGCCTGGTTCTTTTCCCTTGCTAAGGGACTGGATAATCATGGTTATCTATAATGATAATAATGGTATCTATTGTTTATTGAAATTGCTTCCCAGGTAGAATTAGTCCAAGAGGAAGTCTCAACAATAAAATAAAAATCACTGCTCACATGAGTGTGGATTGAAGTGTTCCATGTGGGTACACCAAGAAGTTTTCAACTTAAAGAATTTTGGAGATTTGGGGGTATTTCTAGGCCAGGCTGTTTTGGGGGTTCTGGTTCTAATCTTGGGAGCATCTGACAGTGCAGTACCTCAGAGAAGTGCTGGGCAGGAGGAACTCAGGTATGGACAGTTCACTCACAGGCTGGCTGCTGAAGCTGGCTATGGGCTTGTGCTTTTCTTAAGTCTCTTTATAAATTTCTATTTCTGTGTTTTACTGCCAGCTTTATTCCAGTTTTTAAAGGCAAATGTTTTAAATTCTGTTTTAAAGGTCTCTATCTTGTTTTCTTATCTATTATACTTTGCCTCCAAGGAATTAGTGTAAAATGGTGCATCCACTATGAAAATAAGTATGGAGATTCCTCAAAAAAGTAAAACTATGGCTGGCAAGATAGCTCAGCAGACTAAGTGCCTGCTTAGGCAAGTGCAGGGACTGGATTTGATCCCTGGCACCACATGCTGCACGGGTCCCAACCCTGGGCGTACTGAGCTGGCCACCAAAACTAGGTGTGGTGGCACACGCCTGTAATCCCAGTGCAGGGGAGACTGAAAATAGAAGGGTCACCACGAGCCTGAGCTGGGTAGTGAGAGCCTATAGCAAATACATAAACAAGTAAAACTAGAGGTTCTATTTGAAGCAGGCATTCCCCTTCTAGAATCTTCCAGAAAGAGTTTAAAGCATCATATAGTGATATATGATATACGTATACTCATGCCTGCAGCAGTACAATTTCTAAAAGCTAAATCTTGGCAGCAGCCCATGTGCTCATCAACAGATGAAGGAATAAAGGAAATGTGTATCTATAGAATGGAGCACTGCTCTGCTGTAAAGAAGGAGAAACTCGCGACAGTTTTAGGTCAATGGATGGACATACCTCAAGACCATAATTTTAAGTGAACTAAATCAGACACACAAGTCTAAATACTGTACTGTTTCTCTGTTATGAGAAACCCACAGGTTAAATGAGGGGCAAAGTGGAGGGTAGACATTGAGAAGTAGAAAAAACTAGGAAAGGGAACAGGGGGAGGGGGTGGATTAAAAAGAGAATGGAAGGGAAAAATGGAAACAGCTTTTATAGATGGGGAGGGGAAGGAGGATTGTAGGCAGGAGAAGGGAAGGGGAAAAAATAAGGGAATTAAGATTTATTATGTTCAAGTATGTGAGATTATCACTATGATGCGTAAGATTGTATATGACAAACATGCTAATAAGCATGCTGGGAGACCAAGAAGGTTTCAGGGTGCAGTGGGTATGAATGGTGATTTTTGTGGGAAACTGTACAAAATCTAAGATGCATCTGCAGGGCAGTAAATCAAGAATGACATTAGGAAGGTGTTAGTCTATGGTGTAGAAAATCAAGCAGGAGAAAGCTGAGATCACCTCTGAACTATCTAATGTATGGTGACAATTTGTTTCCAGGATTGTGGACAAAGCAACATCTATCTATCATGGAAGTGTGGTAAACCTGGAACCCTAAGAGTTATCTGGAAACATATAACACCTTACGTTATCAATTTAAAATTTTAAACTATAAGTTGATTATCTCAGTTATTTGCTATAGTGATAGAAAGCTAACACTCAGGGTACAGTTCAATGACATCATAAGAGTGGGGATCTACTCTTACAGAACCTATATTTTCAGAAGACAGTTGCCAGAAATCACTTTCTCGGTACACACACAGTGAGGACACAGAGAGGAGGCAGTCAGAAACTGACTCTGCTGACCCTCATCTGAAACTTCCAGCGTGGAAACTGAGAGATTATGTGTTTGGGTAGTTGTTCAGTCTATGGTATTTCATTGCGGCAGCCAGAGTGGACTAATATGAAATCTTATTGGGGTTCTTCTTCAAAGCAACTCTGGTGGGGCCGGGGAGATAGCTCAGTAGAATAATCGCTTGACTGGCAAGCGCAAGGGCCTGAGTTCAATCCCTGGTACCATCAAAAAAAAAAAAAAAAAAAAAAAAAAACAAACCCAAAACAAAAAACAACTCTGGAACCCTAAACCCTCTTCAATCTCAACTTTTGAAGACATTTGACCCCAACTAGTCCTGCCCACATTTAGCTCTAAATGCCCACGTGGACTGTGACTTAAAACTTGGGGTCCACAGGAGGTGCTGCTGTTGGGAAAGCCATTCCACAGACCACAGAGATCCTGCAGCCAAGCAGCCTGAGTCGCTCTGTTTCCATGCCAGAACTGTGAACAGCCACCATGAAACCGAGAGGCAAGAAGCTGGTTCTGTCTATTGGGCTCCTTGTGGGCCAGAGATGAGTGATGAGCCATGATGTCTCTTCTCACCACAGGCAGCACCTTTCATTCTAGAGCTCACAGAGTTGGCTACTTAAATTCATACCATAGACAATGTAAGAAAAAACCAAGAGTTTTATAACATATTTACTTCCCATTTCACTGGTTTCCCTGTGTCCATAGTTTTACACAGCAGCGTGGCACCATCATTATGCAACACTTCAAAATAGCTTCTTGAATATATTCTATTTGGGCTATTGGTAAGCCACTGGGCCCCCGAGACAAAGAGAGTGGTCTCCTTGTTTGTGGGTGGGATGTGATGCTGGAAGGTGAAGGTGTGCTTGGAAGCCCTGGGCTAGAGATGGAAAGCTAAAGCACAACCGTACTCCAGGCCTCCGTGTGGTTATTTGTCTCCAAATAGTCACTGATTTTTTTGGACAGAGCCCAAAGCCCATTTTTCCATGTGTTCTTCCCCCTGGGAGAGCTGGCTGAGAGGACACTGAGGTGGGAAGGTCAAGGGATGAGAGATGGGCTGCCACGGGGAGGGCTGCTTGGAGTGAGGGAAATTTGTTCATGTTTTCCATTGCAGCAATTAGGCTGATGTGTGAGTCTAGGGTCTGATGGCTCCATTTGGAAGAGGAGGAGGGTGGACACACGGGACGGGGGCTAAAAATAGTGACTGTGTTTACCCAGCATTTTTAGTGCTCTTTTGAATTAAGCATAAGACTGAGAGGAAATAGAATATATTTTTGGTAGCAGAAGACAAAACTGGGCCTCTTTGGCTCCTGGCCAAGAACAGATCCCAAAGCAGAGATTCCTGGGGCTTTGCTCAGGCACAGCTACAGCCCATCATGGCCTTGGTTCATGGTGAACACGAAGAACTAGGGAGAAGGTCTCGGAGTGACTAGGTCAGCTGTGGGGCAGGACAAGGTGGCGCTGGCAGAGGTTGTGCCTTCTGTGGGGTGGACATCACACAACCATCTTGGGACCTCCAGTAGGAGGAGCCAAGGGCTTCTGTAGGCCAGTGTGACCTGGGGAAATCCTGGCACACTTTGTACGAGTGCTGGCCCCTGGGTTTCAGTTCTTCCTGGCTGAGCCTTCATCCTCTCAGCGTGGTGTCTCCTCTGGCAGGATGACCCTGGTCCAGGCAGGAAACACAATTGCCTTGGGCCAATGTGGGCACATGCAAGTTCACTAACTGGTCAGTCTACCCCACCCCCACCCAGAAGCAGAAACCATGGAAGAATTAGATGGACCAGAATTTTATAGGGAGTAGGCCAGCCTGATAGTACAACTTAAGCAGAGCGCAGTGCCTGGGGTTCGATCCCCAGTGTGCCATGCAGGCCCTGCCCATGAGGCACACTGAGAAGGTGATTGAGACTAGGCGTGGTGGCACGTGCCTGTAATCCCAGCACTTGGGAGGCTGAAAACAGGAAGATCACTATGAGTCAGATCCACATAGTGAGACCCTGTACACACCCTGAAGACTCTGTCCTAAATACAGAAAAAAAAAAAAAAAGAATTTCATGGGATTGGGGAAAAGGCCTGTGAAGGCTAAGTGAGAGAGAACAGGGGTACATGGGAAGCCCCCAAATCATGGTGGAAGCTTAATGGGGTGGGGAGGGAGAAGCGATGACGGAAATCTTGGGCCATAATGCAGTTCTGGTAAAGCCTGAGCCAGGCTGAAGCAGAATCCTCAGAGCTAAGAAGCTCTGCTGGGACCCCATCTCCTTCTGGGACTCACTGTGCTCTGTCTGTGCTGGGAGCCTGATCCTGTGACCACAAATACACTGCAGCCAGAGACCACCAGCCAGCCACTCCCCAGAAGACTAGGAAGACGATCTGAGCATGAGCTGCCTTGAACGCCACTTTGTTCTTTAGTTCTTTAATGTGTCCATTAGATGCTCAATGAGCCTTTGGAGAGCCAGACACTGAATGGTCACTGGGAACACAGATGACAAGAACTAACACATAACATTTACAATGTACGAAGTTCTCTTCTCAAGGCTTGCCAATATGTTAAGCCATCAAATCCTTGCAAGGACTCTGGAAGAGACCATTAGTGATGTCTGTGGTTCAGATGAGAACCTGCCACAAGGGAAGATGAAGTATGTAACTTGCTCAGGATCACATACTAAGTGACCTAGAGGTGTCCTTCTGTGACCTATGACCACAGCTATCATATTTCACCCAATTTAAGGCACAGTTTATTTTAAGACATGTGATTTTATGTGACATTAAGAAAAATGTACTGTCAATTAAGTTTTACAGGGCCGGTGACATAGCTCAGTGGACTAAGCACCTGCTTAGGCAAGCAGAGGGACCAGGATTTGATCCTTGGTACCCACAGGTGGGCTAAGCTGGCCAATGAGTCTAGGCATGGGGGCACACACATGTATTCCCAGCGCTGGGGAGGCTGAAAACAGGAGGATCACTACGAATCCAAGCTGCGTAGTGAGACCCTGTACCAAATACATAAATTAAAAAAGAATGAAGCTTGACATACCATTAGTGTTA